CAAAGAACGAATCTGTTGGCATGAATGACACTGTTTGTCTATAAGCGGTTCAAGAAAGCATTCCCGCACTGGCATTAAGATATGTTACCTGGCAACGTTTGGTACGAGTGACTACATGCATCCCAAAGTGGTCACGTTTACGTAAGGAGCCAAAAAAAGGGATGCTGTCTGTTAAGGAATTAAAGGAATCTGAATTCACTTGGTTGAGAAACAGACAAAGAGTTCCTTTCCTCTTAGTATTTAAGCAACTCTGTACCAAGGGACAACTGAATCAGAAGAGGCGCATCGTTAAGTTGGATCCGCAATTTCATTAAACCAAGAAGCTACTTGTGGTTGGTGGACGTCTTCAGTTTGTACAGATTCCAGAAAAAGCCAACCATCAAATCATAGTACCTTATGGCAACCCAGTTATAGAAAAATTGATCATACACGTTCATGTCAAAGCTTGCCATGCGGGTCCAGAGACGAATCTAGCCATTCTCCGTCAACGCTTCTGGCTCACGCAAAAGCGAGTTTTGAGAAAATGTCTCACGTGTAAACGTTAGCACACACAGCCTGTTCAACAGAAAATGGCACCGTTACCAGACAAAAGAGTACAGATGGCACCACCATTTACGAACATTGGAATGGACTTTACAGGTCCACTGTATGTTAAAGTAAAAGGAAGTTCCGAGCCAACTACGTCAACGGCCTCTGTAAGCAATTTTATCTGCAAAGATACTCTTCCAGTTCATTTGGAATTGTTGAAAAGTATGACTGCATAAGATTTTCTGGAAGACTTTTGTTGTAGGGCTAATCGACGTGGGATGGGAAAAGTGATCCATTCAGACAACGAGACCAAATTTCATAAAGCAGAAAAGGTGTTCAAGGTGTCAACTCTAAGAATGCGGTTGACGAAGATAGATCCAACTGTCGTTAAAAACAAATTAACCAATCAAGGTGTACGCTGGAAATTTACAACGGAGAGAGCCCGTCATCGTGGAAGTCATTGGGAGAGAGTCTCCCGACAGCTCAAAGAACGACTCTGGAAGGTGTTGGGGAAAGTTTTTCCCAGCTACATCGAAATGATGCTTGTCATGACAGACACAGAAGTCATTATTAACTCCCGTCCTCTGACTTACGTTGGTGATGATATACGTGGTGGGCGAATCGTTACCGCAGCCTTATCAGCCATTGGAAGAGATTTGAGAAGTCCGCCTGATGGACCACCAAAGAAAGCCCTCTCTCGGAGCGCTTAAAGTACGAGTTCAAAGTCTTTTTTGGTCTCCTTGGTTACGTGAATATTTGTCGGGCGTAACTTTTCGCCAAAAATTAACCAAGCAAAGGAATGCCATTGAAACAAAACCATGTCGTACTTATTTCAGAGGACAGGGTGGGCGAATTTGAACAGTAAGAGTCCAAACCAGGAAAGGAATGATAAAGAAACGGGTACAGAAACTCCACTTACTAGAGGAGTACAACGATAAAATTCTCGACAGAAGATGTGACCCACTGCATACTGCTAAGGTTCAAGAGATGAAAGACTCTAGGAAATGCCCAACACTCGAAACGCTCCCGCAAGTGCCAGAGGTTAATGACTGTTCGTCATCGGTGGAGGAAGAAGTAGCAGCCAACAAGGATAACAAATACAAGACACGTTATGGGCGTGGAATCAGACGTCCCAAGTGACTGTAGAACATTTAAATTGTATGCGACTTGGTGTGGCTGTGAGTGTTTATTACATGTGTGTTTTTCTGTTGCTCAAAGAGTCGGACTACAAGTCGCGAAGTAAAACTATGGATTAACTTGCTATGTGAAATTCTTGCGAGTGTTCGTCGTTTTATTCGGCCTCTACCACGTCTTTGTAGCGTTTGCTGAGTTTTGGAGAGATTTTAAGTTTATCAAGAAAAAACCGTCATTTCGTGTTTGACTTCACTGAAATGTATAGTTTGACGTCTTAATGTCGTATGAAATGTAAAACTGCAATTCCGAGGCAATTTGGAGTAATGATGCGAAATTCAACATTTCTTTTACGTTTTTATTTAAACATATGGTTTCAGATCTTTACAGTATCTGGAATCTAAAACTGTGTTCTAGAGGCAATTTAAAGGTGTAAGGGGAAAATCTACAAGTCTCGTACGATATCATTCAAATGTTAAGAAGACTAAAACATAGTGTTTGGGGCAATTTGGAGTTATGAAGCGATAATGAATGTTTCTCGTCCAATTTAACTCAAATATATACTTTCAACTTTTTACAGAATAGGGAATCTAAAACCGTGTTTTTGAGCCATTTCAAAGTAATGAAGCGAAATTCAACATTTCTCGGCGATAGCGATTTTACTCAAATATAGAGTTTCACGTCCTTATAACGTGAGAAACCTGAAGCTACGTTTTTGGGGAAATTTGGAGGTATGAAGCGAAAATCCCTATATCTTTACACCTTCTGGAATCTAAAACTTTGTTTTTCAGACAAATTTGAGGCATGAGACAAAATCGACATTTCCCTTACGATGTAAGTCAAATTTATAGTTTCACAGCTTTAATGTATGCAGAATCTAAAACTGTGTTTTTGAGGCAATTTAAAGTTATTAAGAGAAAATCGACATTTCTCGTGCGATTTCAATAATATGTATAAGTTCCCGTTTTTATAGCATCTGGAATGTAAAAGTGTGTATTTTTGGATATTTGGAGGTACCAGGCGTACGATTTCATTCAAAATTATAATTTTTCGTCTTTAACACATGTAGAGTTATGAACTTATGAAGAGAAAATCAACACGTCTTGTTCGCTGTCATTCAAATGTATGGTTTCGCGTCTTTGCAGCATGTGGAATCCAAAACTGACTTTTTGAGGAAATTTGAAATTATCAAGGAAAACCAAACTTTATCTTCACAGATATTGCTATTTATGCGGTCCATAACGCTCACACAATGGTCTGTAGGTTTGGTTTGTGTCAAGTATAACTCCAGGGGATAGAGGGGGCGTTTCGTCAAGGGTAAAAGTTGTTTCTCTTGAGCAATTAGGCCTTCTTCCCTTGGCCCTGTACCCACAGTATCGGGAAGAAAAAACTTTTTTTTCCACATTACCTCTTAGAATTTTCAGCAAGTACTCATTTTTGACAGTTCAGTCCCCTCTTTAGATCTTAGTTTAAAACGTTGTGCTCCAAGCGGTCAAATGACGGTAACACGTGTTTTGATACTTGTTCATTCCTTTATTCGCCGTTTACGCGAATATGTCGAGCGGAGTAATGATATCGATGCTAATTTGCATATTCGCGAAGGCATAGAGTTAAAATGGCACAGGGTTTGGGGAAGAACAATACGCAAGACCGTCCAAATTGATCTTTTAGTGGTTAAATCGTTCAAGCCCGATATAGTTATATTACAGCTAGGCACTTCCCCTATGAACGTTTGCTCAGCAATTTAAGACCTTACCCGGCCCCTCCATGACTCGCTAAACGTGAAATGTGTGTGTGTCTGTCAAACTATTTATCGAACTGGGGCTGCTACGTTCAAGAAGCACGTGATCCTCTTAAATTGGTGTTTAAAAGTACTGCAAGAGCCGATCCCTTATGCAATTTTCTGGAGCCATACAGGGTTCTGGAGGGCAGAAACTAATTTCAACTAACTCTTTCTGGTTGTAGACGAGAATCCAACGACTGTACRRAACAACCTACTACCCAATAGTTGGTCTCTAATTTAAGGGCTTCTTGAACTCAGCATTAACTGAAGGGAACTCGCAGATCGTATCAACGCGCCCGGGTAGATGTACCCCGTGACGGGGTAAATCTAAATGGTCCTTGTCAGCACAAGCGTAGTTTTAGGGGGAAGTTCTACATTGCCTAAACTCCCTATAATCGGAAATTGGACTTATATAACAAATTTGAAACATCCTCCTATTTATCTATACTGGCCGCCTTCCCCAGACATTTTATGTTTTTCATTTTATTGTCTTAAGATTTCCCAGTTCCCTTTAATGTTTAAAACCAAGCTGACTTGTCAGCTAATGTTTGTTTTCACAACTCCTGCTTGTTTGTCGTTGGGTCTTACTTTCACGAGCAATGGGTGTGCTTGTTCGGTTCACTGGAACCACGGTTCACACGTCCGAGATGCGTTTATGGCTAGCGATGATTTACTTTCTTACCATTGCAGTAGTAGTGTACAATCTTTTGACCGCCTCTTTACGAGTGGTTCAATGCACTCGGCACTGGGGGTAACGCATCGTTCCTGGAAATTGGCCTCTGTTATCCTTTTAATCCGGTTACGTATCGTTGCTTATGAACAGAAAACCTGTGGAGCTGCCCACCTTAACTGCGACCAAAAAATTTAGGATGGACTTTTATCTCGTCATTTTGAGCCGTATTCCTTCTTATCAATTTTTTTTCGAAATCGCATTGCATTCCATTTTATTTAATAACCTATTTTTATGTATTATCGATAATTAATGCCTCCTGGAAAGAGTGCGGCACAGCCATCAAGGATAGACCGCCAAACACGTTCTAAACGAGTGTGAACATAAGAGCTGACAGCAGCGGATCCACCTATATTTCACCCAGCTATTACCAATCCCGGTTTGGTCTCCTTACACGTAAACGCTCTCTCTGCAACCAGATTTACTGTCATCTTGGAAGCGGTGAAAACCGCATTGTCTAACGATCGTCTAACTCAGATCATTAGAAAAAACACCGTTGAAGAAAGCACGTCCATTGAAACCACATTGGCAGGGCAATCTCAAGCCGACCTGCCATAGGATAGCCTGACCACAGCACTGAGAAACGATGTAAGTAACCTAAACGGAGCAGGTACAAGACAGGAATCTCTGCTTTTGGGCGCCGGCAATGTTGATTCTAAACAAATTTTTACTAGCGTCTCTTTAAATCTTAGTTCCCGGGTAGGTTCGAAAATAAAAGTTAA